ATTAGCTTCAATTTCAAATATTTTTCAAAATTTCAACACCTGGAAAAAATACAAATATTATTACAGAAGATGATTTGTAAAGACTTGTTAACCATTTTAAAGTAGTGATCCGTGAGTTCAGCATTAGACCTGAAGACTTGTTGATTGAATTGGGTTACCGTTTGATTCGTATGTTAACCAAAACAACGTATAAGACGAAGAAAATTTCAAGGCACGTCTATTATTTCGAAGCAAACGCGTTGTTCAGCAGTAAGACTTAAACTGTTTTGAAGACATTAATTGATTCAGTATTTTAAAATTTGGGCAACAATAATGTAGCTTATTTTAGTATTTTTTCTTCAGAAGCTGTATTAGTGGAGTTTAGGAATTAAAGGTTACGAATTAGGAGGACATTTTAAATTACTAGCAAAACAAATCAGCATTTAGCATAAAAATTAATTTGAGCTCAGAACAAAAATGTCATTTCGCTTGATCAATTGTAAAAGCAATTTATAATATTGTTTATTATACATGACTATAAATTTTATTCTTCGAACCATTTAAAAAATAGATTTAAGAAGTTCATTATACCAAACACTTCACTAGAAAAGTCTTCGGAATTTTATGGCATTATCAAAGGTATTTCTCCCGTTTTCCTAGCGTGCATTCGTGGTGTAGTGGTTCTGTATGCTGGGCTGGTTTTCTAGAGGTCCGTGGTTCGATTTTCGGCGAAGGCGATTGCTCATTTTTCATCTCTCCAGCTTTTCCAATTAATCTAATTTCTCTACGGGGCGCCCGAACTAAAAGGGTGTTGGATGATGATTCTCCACACCCAGAATTTGGCGATTGGTTCCCCTAAAAACCCCAGGCTTCCTTTAAAAAGGGGAGCATATAAGTTACTTCTTCCGCTTTCCTAGCGTGCCTTCGTGGTTTAGTGGTTCTGCACTCTGAGCCGGTATTTTAGAGGATTCCCGGCGAAGGCGTTGGTAATTTTCAACCTAATGTCTCTACAAAGTGGTTTCTGGGATAGAATATGTGGACATTTTTGTATTAAATGCTTTAAAATGTAGAATGGATGGATTGGATTGGATTATTCAATTATGGCAAAGCGCACAAGGGCTATCTGCCTAAATGAAGGATGCCTTCGTGGAGGACTTTCTAAGAGAATCTGGCTCATATACAAGTTACACATGGGGAAAACCACGAAAGCGCCCATGCAGCCAGCCCGTTCGCGGGATTCGAGCCTCAGTCCGAACTACCAATGTTCAGCGTCTTTACAGCTCGGCCACTGGTGGGCCCTAAAGTGTAGAATGTAAATGCAGAATGTGAAGCAACTCAAATTCGGTTTATTGAATCTCTCTCTCTCTCTCTCTCTCTATATATATATATATATAATTAAACTGTTGTTAGAGATTATCCACTTGGAAAATGAAAGGTATAAACTATTACAATTATAAAACTTAATGAAGATGAAACACTTGGAAAATAAAAAGTTTACCCTATTGGAATTATAAAACTTAGTAGTAACTGCCATTTAATACGCTAGAAAAACTATTTAAAATTAAAAGCACATTCATTTATCGCTGATTTCATGGACAAAGACTTACTTTTCAAAGAGAATTAGCCCTTCTCGATAAGATCACCAACAGTTATTGAGATCTGATTGAGTTTTATCTCCCTCCTATATTTGAAAGAAATTCTTTCCACTATAATGCAAAGAATATTTCAGTTTTCATACGTTAATTCGTATAATTCATATTAATTCAATTTATTTTTAAATATGCGAAAGAAATTCCTCGACAGGATACATTTTCACGAAAAACGAGATAACATGTATGCCAAACAAAATATTGATAAAACCAGTTGTACGTCTAAAGGACCTTAACCAAAAATACGCAAAAAGTAATCCCGCTTTCTTGGCATGCCTTCGTTGTGCAGTGGTCAGCCCGCTCGACGCGTAATCGAGAGGTCCGTGGTTCGAGTCCCGGCGATGTCATTGCTCATTTTTCATCTCTCCTGATTCTAAATAACCTAATGTCTCTACAGTGGCGCCCGGACTAAAACGGTGGTGGATGATGATTCTCCACCACCAGGATTTGGTGATTGGTCCTCTAATCACCAGTTCCTTTTTAAAAGGGAGAGTACATAAGGTATTTCCCCTATTTCCTCTCGCCTTCTTGGCATACCTTAACGGTACAGTGGTCAGTACGCTCGACGCGTAATCTAGAGGTCCATGGTTCGAGTCCCGGTGAGGGCATTACTCATTTTCATCTTCCGCTTCGAAATAACATAATGTCTCTACAAGACTTCTAAAAAAACTTATAATTATCTTAATCGCACACAGATAAGAAACATAGGTAAAATTTGCATGCTATATAATTAATTATTATGGCAAATGAAGAAACATTTTCTATATTTATTTATATAAAATAGTTATTAATTGCGCGTTTTTCTACGTAGGTAATTTTCTATGTAGGTATGTTTACTGTAGACAATCACTACTGCGCAGTGTATTCTGTGAGCTTTCTTTATGCGCCATTGTTTTGGTAGGCCTTTTTTTATGAAACCATTTAAACAACGGTTTACTTTTGAAACTTCTTGAATTAAATCTAAATTTCGCACAGCGAGATCGAGGTCATCAAATAATTTTCTCGAAGCTGGTAAACATTTGAAGAATTTTTAACACTTTGCAAGTTAAAAATTACTCATAAAAGAATCGGTGATGATATTTTTACGAACAAAACTATCTTTAAGTAATTTTACACAGTTCACATAATTTCTGTAAGTTAATTGAAAACCAGATATTACATTTAACTGCCCTCTAGTCAAGCATATTTTTAAATAGGCAAATTTTTCAGTTTTTAGTTTTTGAAAGTGGATCATTTCGATTGATAGTGCTTTCAAATTAATTCCAAAATTCGTTCCTACATTTCGTATCTCCTGAACACGGTTTGATTATCAACTTAAGAAGTTTAATTGAAGAGAGTAAATTTAAGTTATTATTCGGAGTACTTAACAGTTTTTGAGATGTCGACGAGTAAATAAAATTTTCTTTCTGTTTCATTAAACGTTTAAGTTAGTTACTATATCTAAAACATTTGCCTTGATAATAAGTACTAATGTTTACTTCTTTGTCAATTCATTTTATATCGATATGTTTAATTTGACTATATAAGGAGTTTAATTTATCCATTTTTTTCAACTAAAACGTCTAGATGATTCTCTAAGATGTCACACGTAACAGTTACATCTGCGAAGCGATGTAATTCTTGAAATTAGTAGTATTGGTTAATTCAAAACTACGTTTGCGTTTTAATTTTTGAAAATTTTATTCAGAAGCCATAGACATGTCATTTGTACTCTAAAGAATTATACATTCATATGTAAAATTCTCATCTGTAATTCTCTTGAAAATGTTTGAAAGCTGCTAATGCGTAACCGTTGATAACAGAATTCTACATTAAACATAATCCATGAAAAAATCGAAAGGATCTATGGGCAGGAACTCTAATATTTCCGATACCGAAATTTATGTAGAGAAAACATGACTAATAAACACCACTATAATCACCACTAAAGCTCATCGAGTTATTACTAAACTACGATTTATTTACATAGATTAAAATGAAAAGTAAAGTCAAAGGAATATATATATATATATATATATAGCATTCTGAAAAAAATTCTGAGAAATCATTCTGATCGTATATGAAATATGAAGCTCAAGTTACTCAAATATGAAATAATTTTTACGTAAACAATATTCGTGTTTACTTTATTCTAATTTCCAAGACAACAATTCTTGCTCTCGGAGTTCTAAAATTATTTCTAGTTTAAATTCTTATAACCTGGAGTCTTTAATATCGTAGAAAGACAAGTTTTTCAAGCATTAAATTAAAATTACTTCAATCCCCCATTATCTCCTTGATGAAGTTAACGCTTGGCTAAATATATAGCTTTAAAGGTACTTTTTTAAATTTTTGATTTCTTATTCATAGCAGAAGTCATGAAGCTCTCGAAGGATGTCCTCCAAGCGTTATTTTCCAATTTAGTCTGTTACAAAAGAACTCATAATTAAATATGCTGCGCATGTAGTGAGTAGAAGCTCACGAGATTTGCTTTATTCAAAATAATTTATTTTGAAAATGACACTTGGTAAAACCTCTATTGTGTCTCAATTTAAAAAATCTGATTATTCTAAAAGTATACTCAATAAATAATGAATAGAGAAAATATCATTCTAAAGAATTTGAAAGTTCATGTAATCAAAAGTGTTACATTTATGCAAATATTCAAGAATTGACAGATGGGAAAACTGCTGAAAAAAAAAATAACTACGAAAAGAATATAAATTTCTAGATGAAATGCATTCTAATTGTTTATTTAATAATTTACAGATATATCTAGATAGTTAAGTAATAATTGTATATTAAGACTTTATAAACTACATTCAGAAAATATTATTTATTACTCATTAACATACAATTAACTTTCAGGATACTGCAGACAAAGCACATGTTTGATATATCAATATCAAATAAAATGTAAAATATTCCTTTACATTATGTCATTTTTTAAATAATTGGTATTTTATAAAGCGACCTTATTTTTTATACAGAAATACTTACGAGATATACAGATTGCGAACAAAAACTTTTCTTGTATTATTTTTCGCGAGTCATGGAAAGTCGTTAAAAGTCTGTAACTCATCTAACGAAATATGTAAAAAATCACCCTAGGAAAATACGACGTTTTAGTAGTTCACATTTAATTAAAATCAATCAAAATTTATACTTTAAAGATTCAAATTTGTTTTATATCATGACTTAAAATATTTTCTTGTCATAAACTAAACTAATTATTTAAATCCTATCAAAAAAAATCCAATGTTTAAATTCATAGGGGAACTAGGAAAAATTAATGAAACAGTATAGAATATATCCTCTCTAGAAAGAAGACCCTTATATTACAGCTATTTTGTATCATTTTACTATCATTATTACTGTTAATTAAGCCTTTTGTATTTTCTTAGGTGTGAATGAACTCGGGCCGGGGCCGTAGGCCTCAAGTGCTCCATGATGACCAGAAGACTCTGTCCACTCCTGGTCTCGGTTTTCCTGGTCTTACACGGAGCTGTGTTGGTTTGGTAAGACCCATTTTTTGAACATATTTTAACTGAATAATGTATAAACCAACCATACCTGACACACAAAGTTATGTCTTTAATTAAAGTAAACTGAAATAAATTGCGTGACATTTTTTATTAATCTGAAATGCATGCACATTCAGGGGTTATGCTGAAAAAAAATGTGCATGCAGCACTTCTTCATCTGAAACTCATGTTTTGGTACATCTGAGGCAATACAAAATAGATTTAAATTCTCTTAGGTAGCTTAAACTATAGATCAATTGTATGATATGATAAAAGACTGTATAATGAATTATCCCCAGGTCTTAGTACAAGTCAGAAGAAGGATGTACAGAACCCTTTATTCAGTCCAATATAGTTGAACAGATGACCCAACTTGGGTTTACATAAAGCCAACACTTCTGGCGTAACTCAAAAAAGTACCGGTAAACTTAAAATAAAATGCAACTAAATTATCCTAACGGATCTCATGATAATTCAAAACGCAGGAAGGCTCTGACTCGTAGAAGCCGGCGGAAACAAGCTTAATGGCTAGAAGCACTCAACGCCACAAAATCAAATCACTACTAATTCAAGATCACAAGGGGCCTTCAAGTAGGCATAACACGCTGTAAAATCACCTTCCTAAACCTTACTTTAAATAGCATTTCTTTTTACCTTAATTTGAACACACGCGTTCTGTCTTATTGCTATTCTGACTGGAAAGCGTGGATAAAAGCGAGACTGAAAGTAAAGTTGCTTTAACTAAAAATTAACTATTAACCAAACAAAAAAAAATCCTCACATGCTTAGGAATCTTATCCTTTTGCATTTTCCTTTAGTTTTAAAAGTTATGATTAATTCAGGGCATATATTATTTGTGGCATATATTATATATTACTATCACATGAAAGTGATCTAACTGAAACTTAAATCAGTCATGATATGAAGGTGATCTAATTGAAACTTAAAGCATAATTTATAATTTTTTAACTGTTCAGTCTGTAATATATAAAACACTATTCATAATAATTTGTTACATCTCCCGTTTCAGGCAATTTGAAGTTATTAGTTATCTTTTGATTAGAATTATAACAAATTTTGATTACTATAATAAAAACACTGAAGTTTCTGTTAGGGAGAAGCAGGACATTTTCAAGTTCTTTCAGTTGAGTAGGATAATCCCTGGCATGTAAAGAAGTTTGTAGAGTTATTAGACATTTTTAAACACAGAAAACCTGAAAAACGTGCAGTGCTCTTGCCGGGACTCGAACTCTGAACCTCTCGAATGCGCGCCAAGTGCGCTACCGTTATATCACGCTGGTATGCAGAAAGGAGGAATAAAATACCTTATAGGTTAATTAACATTTTTGTAACTAGCAAACAAAAACAGTATTTCATAGGTAGTTTTTATTCAACAAAATCGTTATGAAGATGAGAAATGTTATCAGTAATTACATGATAAACAACCAAAATGATAATAATTCTGGATAATTAAGCAATGGGTAACATATTGCTTATATATTTTAATTCATCGGAAAGCACTATAGTAGTAAGGACGTCAAGTACTAACACGTAATTGTCAAGATCAGTCGAAAATTCAAATATATAAACTGTACAAAAGAATGTCATTTGTCTAAAATTCCCTTCAGTTGGTAAAGCAGCGTACAGTAAGCTTCAATTGTTCTTGTCCACAATTTAGTGGATTGATTATTAATTCAGAGGGCCATGATTCATAATAACCCTCTATAATTAGAAAACATCTCGAAAGAATGTTCTGCTTCTCCCTAACAGGGCAACTGTATTTCTTAGTCTGTTCATCAAAATGTGTTATAATGAGAAATTAATTAGAAATTTTAAATTGTCTGAAATAGGAAGTGTACCAAATTATTATAAATTGTGTATTATGCATTACAATCTGAAATATTAAAAATTAAGTTTCAATTAAATCTTCTTGTGATAACTGACAGTATCGTCATTATCTAAGTGCTTTCCTTACATTGGCAACACAAGATTATTGTCCTGCTTCTCCCTAACACGGCAACTGCATTTATTATTCTGTTCATCAAAATGTATCATAATTACAATCAGAAATTAATTAGATATTTTAAATTGTGTGAAATAGGAGGTGTACCAAATTATTTTAAATTCTGTTTTATATATTACAGTCTGAACTATTAAAAAATTAAGGTTTAAATTTTCAATTAAATCTTCATGTGATAACTGACAATATCGTCATCATCTAAGTGTTTTCCTTACATCGGCAATACAAGATTATAATTATAGCTCCAGAACAATGAGAAACGCCGAAAGCCAACATCTGATACCTACAGGTAACAGGAAAATGAGTTATAAACTGTAGAAATCAGGTTGTCAAGAGATTTGAATAGCTACCTTAGCTACCGTCATAATTATTACAACAGGATACTTGCGAAGTGTCAGGAACACCATGTCAGGCCACATTAACCTTCGTAATGATGGCTGTCGTATACTAATTGCAAGTACCATAAGTCCTGCACAAACAAGCAGCTTCCTTTAGATTTAAACCTGGCATTAAGACTTGCATAACAGCAAACCGTGTTAAAACGCTTTACGTATAAATTGTTTTATTCTTTAAAACCTTACGCATGAAAGTTGTTCTTACTCTTCTCATTTCTTGATAGAGTTCAATATGTTATGCCCGATTACATTTAAAACGATGTAAACGAAATGCATATGCATAAATACTGCTCACAAAGTAGAGCAACTTAATCAAGTTGTTACATGAAATGCTAAAAAACATTTTTATTTAAATTGATGTCAGACTAATATCTCATTCCAAAGTTTTATTTGGTGTTTTATTTATTTGGTCCGTGGATCCTTACTTCTAATATTTATTAGTTCATTTAATGGTGAGCTAGAAACAAAAATTCGATTTAAAATATGCAAATATACAGCCAGTATTTGATTTGAAGAGATAATGTAGCAAAGGAATACTCCTTGCACATTGAATAAAAAGTCTTCCGAAAATAAAAGAAAATCAATCAGCAGATTGTGGTTAGTTCTGTAAGGTAGTTTAATGTCGTTTGAGAAAATCGTTGACACAAATCGTGAGTCGTTTGACACAAATCAAGTTAGATGTATATCAGATTCTCTAGAAACTGAGTTTTTCTATAAAACTACCATCAGTCTAAAACTGAACTTGTAGAAATTTTATGAATTTATTATCAGGGAAAAGTGAAATGATATGGGTTGCTTCAAGTAATTCATTCTATGTCAATCCTTCTATGTAATTAAATTAAACGTGTAATTTATTTAGAGCCATAATTTCATCAAAAGTTTGATGTTTATTTATAGATTATTTTTATAGTCTGATGTAGTATAATTTCTAAACTCTCTTTTAATTTGATGAAAGTATATCATAAGGGATATTGTGTATCTACTAAAAATCATACTTTTAAAGTGCATGAATTAAGAAAGAAAGAAAATGTTATAAGGTATTTCTTCCACTTCCCTAGCGTGCCTTCGTGGTGTAACGGTAGCACACTGGGCCGGTATTCCAGTGGTCCATGGTTCGATTTCCGTGGTTCGATTGTCATGGCCAGGAAACAGTCCTGACCTCAATCCTATCGAAAATTTGTGGCACCGTTTGAAAACTCTTGTCCGAATGAGGCGCCCATCAAATAAAAGGGAACTAATTGAGACTATAATTGTTTCCTGGCATCATGTAATAAGGAAAGAAGAGCTTAAAACTCTTGTCAGCTCAATAAAACGTCGATGTCAAGCTGTAATCAAAAATAAAGGGTACCCTACTAAGTACTGATGACTCACTGCAATCATCACTGTCTAATGTATATCGATAACTATTATCGTTTAACATTTTTTGTATTGCAAATAATTGAAATTTGTTTTTTGTATTGAATTTAGTAATAAATTCTTTGTGAAACATAACGTTTTCTATAAGCATACAAAGTTCAAAAACATAAAAATTTCCAAAAGTGTCCACAATTTTGGCCACCACTGTAGGTAATTTATTAAAGAGAAAGAGCTACAACAAAGTGAGCAAGTAAATAAGGCTCTTGCGCTGGAACGTCCGTACATTTTGTGCTGTACGCAAGCTGTCTCCCAGCGTGATATTAATTCATAAAATTGGCACAGGTTGAAGATAATTTTTCAACACGCTTGTTTTGACTTGTCATGCATATATGTTTCTACAAGCATTTATATTTTTCTAAAGTCTGGTATCTCATTCAATTATTTTGGTGCAATTAAATCCACCCTTTATGAATGGTTTCTACCCAGTTACGTTTGCGGATTTTTCTAAATTATTGCATACGCTTGAATAAATGGCATTTTTAAGTTTCTCTTGAGCTTGCAAACTTAACAGAAGCATATATTCTTCTTTCAGGTGAACAAAACATTAAAATATTGTCTATTATATGCTTGAATATGTATACAATGAACGATCATATTAATTTAACTGCAGATTTCATAGTACTTAACGCCATTGCTTGCCATTAACGTGGTTTGAAGTCTTTCATCTTGAATTCTACTAGCTATTAATAAATTTCGGGAAGTAATTAATTATAACTGAAATGGAATTCATCGTTTCTTTTACGGAGGTTAGACAGCAGATGTATTTGTTCTGATCTTCCTTTTGAACTTATCGATATTCAATGAGCCTGAACAAGTGTCTGCACCAAAGCTTTCGAGTCACGTTTTTCAAACAGTTTGCACGAAGTATGTGCCCTACGGCATGAAACTTATCCGTCTGTAAGTATTGATCACCAATAAGTTTAGCCATTACTATCCTTGTGTAGATGCCATCGACAGCCATATTAATAGGCAGTCATATATTGCCTCACAAAAATCAAAAGGCTTGATTGTTCTGATTATTCCAAATAATAAACCGGAAAAAAGGTTTAAAAATTTAGTTAATTTAGTTATGTTCAAAAGAAACTGTTTAGAGCTTAAATAAATGTTGAACTGTATTTGTATATATGTATCTGTGTCCACAGATAAATTTCGAATGAGATTAA